AGCAGACCATACCTCGACTTGAGCTCTGCGCGGCAGTACTGGCTGCTAAGGCAGACAAACAACTACGGCAAGAGCTTGAATTACATATAGACAGATCAGTGTTCTGGACAGACAGTACGGCAGTCCTTCAATACATACGAAACACCGAAAGACGCTTCCAGTCCTTCGTGGCCAATCGAGTGGCAACGATACACGAGGACTCCAATGTAGAACAATGGCGCCACGTGACGTCGGCACTGAACCCGGCCGACGACGCTAGTCGTGGATTACATGGAGCAGAGCTCAACGAGGAGGGCAGGTGGATTCGGGGACCCGCTTTCCTCTTTTTGGAAGAAGACAGTTGGCCAAAGAGTCCATTGAGGATTCCAGACCTCACAGACGGAGACCCAGAGGTGAAGAAGGAAACCACGGTGCTGACGGCGAACGTTGACCAGGGGAGGGTATCCTCGATAAGCTATGGGCCAGGTACTCATCGTGGCATCGACTTCTGAAGAGCGTAGCGTGGATTAGAAGGTTTATAAAATGGCGGCTTGGGAAGCGAAAGAACAAACATCACCGAAAAAATCGGCTCCAGGTCAGCGAATTGGAAGAGGCGAAATTAGCTGTCTTAAGATTTATGCAAAGGAAAGGATTCCCTCGAGAACTAGGAATGTTACTACAGGGACAACCCGTGAGAGGTAGCGACATAAGGCGGCTGGAACCTCATCTAGACACAGACGGTCTGATCAGAGTAGGTGGCCGACTGAAGCACGCTGCTCTCCACCCAGACCAGGAGAATCCCATACTATTACCAAGGGACAACAGGATCACGGGGCTCATCGTGAGAGAGGTACACTCAACTAGAGCTGGACACTGAGGACGAGAACACACTCTTGCCATAATACGTGAGACGTACTGGATACCTAAGTGCCGAAAATTACTCGACCGCAAAATACGGACGTGTGTGACTTGTCGAAGAAGCAGCTGGAGGCCTACCCATCAACGCCAAGCCGACCTGCCAGAAGATCGAGTGCGCCCAGGAGGCCAGCCATTCACCTACACTGGAATTGATTGCTTCGGCCCTTTTTTGGTTAAACAAGGACGAGCCCGGGCGAAGAGATGGGGATGCTTATTCACCTGCCTGAACACCAGAGCCATACACCTAGAAGTCCTCACCTCACTAGACACCGACTCGTTCCTCAATGCCCTAACAAGATTCACCTGCCGCAGGGGACCTCCCAAGCGTGTTCGGTCTGACAGGGGAACCAACATGAATGGAGATAACCGAGAGTTACGAGAGGCGGTGAACGGCTGGAACAACAGTGACAAGGTCGGGAATGCCCTTCTACAGAAACAGATAGAATGGCAGTTCAACCCCCCGACAGCCTCTCACATGGGAGGAGTGTGTTAGCGACAAATTCGCACTGTAAGGAAGGTCCTCCAGGGAGTGGTGGGCACCCAGACACTAGACGATGAATGCCTCAGCACTGTGTTCTGTGCCGTAGAAGAGATCATCAACGGAAGGCCCATCACCCCAGTGTCTGACGACCCAAAGGATCTAGAAGCACTAACGCCGCTTCACATACTACGGATGAACCCGGAGACACTGTCCACCGGAGGCGATTGGTCCATGACAGAAGGGTACCGACGAAGATGGAAGCATGCCCAATTCATTGCGGACCAATTTTGGAAAAGGTGGGTAAAAGAATATCTCCCAACATTACGTCAGCGACAAAGGTTCTTCAAAACTCGCCGTAATCTCCACGCTGGGGATATCGTGATCATCTCTGGACAACCCCTTCCCAGGAGTCAGTGGATGCTAGGGAGAGTACTGGAAGCTCTACCGAGCAAAGATGGCCTGGTGCGAAGTGTTAAAGTGAAGACAAAGGACTTAGTGTTGATACGTCCAGTGACGAAACTCTGCCTGTTGGAAAGGGTGGGAGAGTGAATCTAATAATATGCCATGATTTCGTGCGAAGCCCGACAGGGGGAGTGTTACCGCCACAGTAAGATAAGCTAGAAGAGAGAGAGAAAGAGAGGGATAACTATAATAAGATAAACTAGGCGAGAGAGAGAGAGAGAGGGGGTGAGATAAGAGATATAGTGTTGACAACGAATTTGCTGACCAATCTGCTGAGGTGTTTCAATACGAAAACATATGGCCCTCGCCTCCGGGCTGAGATTGCCCTCGAGGGTAGTCTACTGATTTCTACAGGACAGACAACACGTTGGCTTAGACCACTAGACCCTAAAACGTGAGTGATCGTGAAGTATTAGAATCTGCTAAGAAACTCTAAATAACTTTAATAAGTATATTTGTGTACTGTAATTTGATCATATTATACCAATTGTCTCCTGTATCAATAGTTATAACATGCGAGTTATATTTAAGATGTTAGCAGGCTATGTACTGTATATTGATTGTATTATTCATACTATGTGTCCTGAGATAACACCATTTGTTATATGAGAAATGTTCTTTAACAGGTTTTGACCGAATTATATGGTACGCATCAACGTTGAGGGTTTATTTCTCCAACAACAAACCAATAACGCTCCTATGAGCGTTAACACTCTCCGTCTTTTGTACTTGGCACTTTCGTGCTTTAAACCCAGAGCTAGACTCCGTCCTGAAGCTTGGTAAACTTGACCTCAAATAAGATTCAGACTCCAGGGCTCTAGCCAAAGCTTCCTGTACAGTTACAGGTTGAGACTGCTTCACCTGAATCTTGAGCTGCGTGCTGTCTAATTCGTCCACAAACTGGTCCCTGAACAACACGGCTAACAGATCAGGTGATGCTCCAGGGTACGCCCTATGAGCCATACTTTCCAGGTCTTGAGCCAGGTGTTGCAGTGTTTCACCTCGATTACGGGTTCAAGTACGGAATCTGGCTCTGTAAACCTCATTTTGGTGCTTGGTTCCATACCTTCGTTCCAATACCTTTACGAGTGACATGTAACCGCAACGCTCTTCTGTCAACTTGCTAAGAACCTCCATAACCACGCCCTAAACACTTGTGGCTGATTGTACTGCACACTGCTTGTTTCCCCACCCGTTTTGTTTAGCCAGTAACTCAAACTGTGCTTGGTATGCTTCCCATGAGACCTTGTCATCCAATTCCTGTGGTTTCTTCTTCACTGGTACTCTTGGATAGCTCATCACTTCACTTGACGTAGCATGGGGTCTGAACTCAGGTGCTCTGTAATTTTCAACGCTATGCATTTCACTCGGATCGTGCACAAACGATGTTTCACGCACTCCATCACAATTATAGGAGTCACCAGATCTTGGTTGATACCTTGATGTTAGACAATTCTCCAGAACTTCCATCCTGCTATTGACTTTCTGTAAGTCACTGTTCACCACTGTTAGCTCCTCTCGTACATCTGTGATCTCACCACTCATTTTTTGTTTGTGCTATTTAAATTTTTCACCCACTTCCACTTGCACCTCATGAAACGTATCACTCCATCTCTTACACGTCGCTTGCAGAGCCTCATCTCGTTCATGAATTTTCTTGTCGCTCTCTTCCTGCATCAATTGCAGTTGTTGCTTCTGTTCTTCTCTCTTTTCTGCAATAATTGTTTCTGTTCTCGTTGTGATTGTAGCTGTTCTTGCTTCCTTATTTGTTGCTCCTTCTGTTCCTCCAGTAGTTGTTTCTGTTTTCCCCGTTGTGATTATAGGAAATGCTTCAGATCAGCCACGGAAATTTCCCCTTGCATGGCCTGACTTCTGGTCTGGACACCTTCACCTTCCATTCTTGACTGATATCTCACTGATAGGCTATCCCACTCCTGACACCAGTGTTACAACCCTCCTTTCACCGCTTATCTAGCTTCCACCACTGGTTACCAACGGCCAAGGATGCATGTACAGAAGCACTGTCACTGAATTACCACTGGCTGTCCTGCCAGTCCCCGGTAAATTGGTATCGGTGTACAGAACAACTGGCAGGTAGATTTCCACCAGGTCACAGAAACACACTTGTGCACTGTAGTCATCTTTAGTAAGCACCGAGTCTTCACAACACAAGGGTAATGGCTTCACAGCTGGACTTCTCACTTCGATTATATACTATAGTCGGCACATTACCAGTGTACAATGCTTTAGTCTTTTCACATTATACTGTTCACAACAATTCCACAACAATTGCCTTCAGTTGTTCTACTAGGCTTATTCTTTACACTCTGAGTGGAAGCGATCGACTGACTCCAGTCAGTCAGTCAGAACACCGAGATAAGAGAGCCGTGGCTCTGAGGTGAACAAGGAGATTTAGGGCAAGGTATAGTATTGAAGTGGGAAGTACAGAAGAAGAATGATAGTAGGTGGGCTTTCCACCTTGCGGAGGCTGGATTGTGGCTTAACCAGTGACAGACCTCCCTCAGTCCTCCAGGGGCAAGGCAGGTTAGATAAACTAAGCTAAGCTGATTTAAAGTGCGATCCAAGGGAATGTGCTGTTTAAGGGTTTATTGGAGGGTCCCTTTAGGTCCTTGTGTTGCTGAAAGGATGTTCCTCATCTTTTGTGATTGGGGGGTCCCGCCAGGTCCTTGTGTAACTGGCAGGATAATCCCCATCTTTAAGGTTATGCATGTGGTGTTGGTGACTGACTCCTAGCCTGCTCATAGGTGCTTATATACCCCATCAGACGCCCCTCGAACATCCTAGTTAAAGTCAGCACCACCCAGAGACATCTGGGGTATTCAAGAACGTTCTTCTCTGATCAAGGCTTATAATAATAAGTTAATCATAGCAAATATGATGCAATACATTCTAGAATTTTCTTACATAATTAGTACATCAATAGATACACGAAAATTCCATTAAATTTGCCAAAATAGCTGCAACATGGGACAGAAAACAATCAAAACACATAGCTTACGAAATTATGCCTCGACATAACGATACTTTTTGTTTTTACTGTTTCCTGAAGCCTATGAACTAGCTAATATTTCTTAACATAGTTTTAGCATAAATCTGTACATCATTAACCGTACGATAAGCTGCCAACAACATACTGTACCTGTTTATCGTAGGATCGACTTCTTTCATGAGGTTAGCGAGGTACCTGTCAACCCTCTCCCTTGTCTCCACCTTCTCGCCACACTCACATCTAAATGAAACAAAACGCAGAAACATAAGGATCAACTTAATAATGTCATAGAAAACAAAATTGTGCAAGGGCTACCTAAAATATATTTACCATTGAAAAGTCCATACAAGGCACAGAAAATCCCTATTTCAATACCCTACAAAATTTATATACGATACAGAAAGCTAATTAAAAAATGCGGCAATGTCTAAGAACAGTACTACCACCAGAAAGAGTTGCTCTAATTCGTTCATTTTTACCACACGTTATCATTATAGTAAGCATTTGAAAGGAATCGACTTTTTATTTTCATTATAATTTTGTTTTTCATTGTTCTCTACTACTATAATTTTTCATTTTAAATTTAATTTTACCACTTACAGCGGCTAGTTTATCGTGCACCCCATAATCATCTTGTGGGTGGTAACGCAAAAGGATTACAGAGTAAGTTAAAAAAGGGTCTGTATAACTAACCCATGTGGTCAGGAAATTATGGCATTAAATGTTACACAGTATTTCAATTAAATTCTTTGTTTGGTTCTGTATATAGAGGGTAATTTATTCGCAACTGCGTGAGTACAGGCGTGTGAGGCAATATGTCTGGCCTCACACTTTGTTATTCACATTGGCGTGAGAGGTATTCAAGCACATTGTGTGTTTGGTTCTATACATGGGAATTGATATTATATCAGTTCCCATGTATGGAACCAAACATATATAATTCATCCGGCCCAGGAGATTTTGTTCTCTTTAATTTATTTATCTTCTTAAGAACATCCTCTTTTCTGATAGTGATATTCTTTAATTTCTCTTCTTCATTTCCCCTAAATATCAGTTCCACCTCTGGCATTCCCTAGTAAATTTCTTCTGCGAAAACTGATAAGAAGTAGCTGTTTAATGCTTAGCTTATTTTCTCACTATTATCGATCACTTCTCCTCTCTCTGACTTTAAAGGTCCCACTTTGTCCTTGACCTTTGTCCTATATTCCTGGAAAAATCCCTTGGGATTCGCCTTGGATTCTCTTGCTATCCTGATTTCGTAGTCCCTCTTTGCCTCCCTTACATTTTTCTTAACATTCCTAGATAGTTCTGAGCTGCTCCTCCCCTCCCTTTAATTTCTTATTAATTCCTTTCTTTTTTCCTATGTCATGTTTAATTTTTTTGGTCATCCACCTTGGCTCATTGTTATTTGACCTCATTTTTCTGTATGGTATATTTTGTTCCTGTGCTTTACTTAATATACTTGTGAATATAATATAGTCATGATCAGTTGATGCGTAGCCAGTGATCTCACCTGATCCTATTGGGGACTGACCTGATTGTTCCCAAGCGACCTCACCTCGGTACCATCTTAACCCCTAATAATCCGCCGATCGAAAGTCTGGGACTTTGACCATATTGTCATTGTTTTTCGTTTCCCAATGTAGGGTGAACCTGATTTCCTTGTGATCACTGTTTCCTAGTTCTTCCCCTACTGAGATATCTCTGATAATATTTTCTTTATTTGTTAATACTAGGTCTAATATATTGTCACCTCTAGTGGGTTCTGGAATTAGTTGTTTTAAAAAATTGTCCTGTACTGCATCTAGGAAGTCTTCAGATTCATAGTCACATACAATGTTGTCCCAGTCAATATTTCTGAAGTTGAAATCCCCCATAATGCACAGGTTGTTGTATTTTGCTGCCCTACTCATTTCCTGCCATATGGGCTGAGCTGCTTCTTTCCCAAGACTTGGGGGCCTGTAAATCACTCCCATAATTAGTTTTTCTCTTCCTTCCGCAGTTTCTACCAATACAGACTCGGTTCCTATTTCACCCTTTATTGAATTATTAATACAACATTTTAAAGTATCCCTGACGAAGAGTGCGACCCCTCCCTCCTTCCTACCTTCCCTGTCCTCGTGGAAAAGGTTGTACCCTTCTATTTGGTACACTGATAAAAAGTTCTTGCTCGCCAGATTCATCCAGGTTTCGGTGATTGCTATGACGTCTACATTCTCGGTACATACAACCGCTCTCAGCAAGTCTATTATATTTCTAACGCTCCTACTGTTTGTATAGTATGCATTTAAACCTACCCTTCCCTGGTCCTATTTTACCCCTTGTCCTGAGTAACCAATTTTACTCCCCAGAACAAGCTTTCTTTTTTTACTCCCACTTACCCTGACCTCTCTCTTCTGGCGAAAACCCCCACTTTGGAGTGACAATTTCACGCACCAGGGATGCAGACAACGTCTTTAACCCACCCAGGCACAGGTCACTGACCCACATCGGGGCCTGGGGGGCGAAAATGTAATAATAACAATAATAATAATAATAATAATAATAATAATAATAATAATAATAATAATAATAATAATAATAATAATAATAATAATAATAATAATAATAATAATAAAGAATTACAAAAATGAAAAAGAAAAGATAAAAAGTGAGAAACAATATATGTATGTTGTGTTGTCAATGGTAAGAGAAACAATTGAGACCCTGCAATTGTGTGTAAATGGGGCAGAAAGTCAGATAAGCAACCTGGGACTTGGTCACAATTTTCGAGATGCCATATGGCAGCAGTGTCTCCCATTAGACAACACATTATGCTTCCAATATTTTCCCAGGCGGTAGTACCTCCCTGTTTGGCAGCTGCCTACTACCTACTACCGAGAATGGTTGCCAGTTATCAATGAACGTCCAACCATTGATTGCACAATGTTTTTCCTGTCGGCAATTTATACCAATTTCCCTGGACAGCCATTCATCACCAACTCCTCTTCTATGTAAGACACCACATACTATCGGGATCCCTCCCCTATCTCTAACCTTCCCTAGCGCCTCCCTATACCTCTGGGTAGGGTTTGAACAACTGCCCTTTTCTCTCCTGTCACCACAACGTCCTTCCTCTTCTCTTCCTCGCCAGCTTCCTCCATCTCTTGGTAGGGGTTACTGCACTTCACACCCTGGTCAACTTTCCTGAGTCTGACCCTAGTCCCCTTGGAGACAACCACTCTCCACGCCTGCTCCTCCTGACCCTCCTTCGCAGGTGTCCTGCTAGGCAGGACACCTACCTGAAGGAGTTCAGTCCTGAGGGCTTCGTTCTCCCCCTTTAATACTTCTATCTCTCTCCTCAACTGTTCCAATTGACTTAACAGAGTGGCCAGGGGGTCGTCTTTCCTCACACACCGTCCCTCTTCCCCCACAACACACGATCCACGGCGGCCATTTCCTATGGTCACTAACACGAGTACTTAGGGGCACGTCCTTCTCCAAGGTAGGTCAGGTAGCGTCGAGGAGGTAACACGTGGTTGTAGGCCGCCACACTGCTGGTATTGTGGAGGTAACACGTGGTTGTAGGCCGCCACACCGGTTGGTTCTCACGGTAGGTGCGGCAGCTATCGCCCCTCTGGTCTCTGGTGTCGAAAACATTGACTTGATAACAGCCAGAGTTTCCATTGTCCGCCTCATTGTCTCGGCACCATGTTCATTCACTGCTATTCTTTTCCATAGTTTTTCGGGTTGAAATTGACACTTTTGATCAACAATCCTTGCACTGGTTTCTTAGTGGGGAGGGAGGGGTGGGGAGGGCGGAAAGGGGGTTCGAATATTGACCCCCATGGGCCAAGCCACTCCTTCGCAGCGCTGAGAGACACGTCTGTCCACGACGTGTCTGTCAGTGTTTTTCTTCATGTCGCTCTGCATGTCTGCATGACTTTCTGTGTGCCTATGTGTGCCTATCTACGTGTCTATGCGTGTCTGCTTATGTGTCTGTCTTGTCTCTATATGTGTCTGTTTACGTGTGTTTTTCTGTGTCGACCTATACATGTCTGTGTGGCTGTGTATCTACGTACGTGTCTGTCTGTGTGTCTGTCTATGTGTTTGTTTGTGTGCCTGTGCGTCTAACGTATCTGTGTATCTGTCTACGTGTCTGTCTTTTTTGACTGCGTGTCTTCATATACGTGTCTGTCTTTGTGTCTGTAATAATAATAATAATATAATGATAAACGGTTTATTAATAGAGTTGCAGCCGGTGGCTGAAAATATACAGATTTACATTTGATTTAGAAATAATGATATATTATGCGTTGAATACATTTACAGGGCTGTACAGTACATAAATCAGGAGTTGTTTAGTATTTTAACAATAGATGAGATGGTGCTGTTCTTATATCTATCGGTGCGGGCTCTTGTGGGCTGAGGTCGCGATGACGAGGGTGGTGCAGTAGTTCATTGCCAAACTTTGCCAGTACTTGGTGGTGGAGGTCACTGTCTGTCTGTGTGCCTGTGTGTCTACCTACGTTTCTGTCTACCTACGTGTCTCTGTGTGTTTGTCTACGTGTCTGCCTAAGTGTCTCTTTGTGTCTACCTAAACGTGTCTGCCTGTGTGTCTACCTACTTGTCTGTCTGTGTATTTGTCTACGTGTCTGTCTGTGTGTCTACCTATGTGTCTGTCTGTGTGTCAGTATACCTGTTTGTCTGTGCGTCTGTCTGTCAACCAACGTGTCTGTCTGTGTGTCTACCTACGTGTCTCTCTGTGTGTCTGTCTACGTGTCTGTCTATGTGTTTACCTACGTGTCTGTCTGTGTATCTGTCTACATGTCTGTGTGTCTGTCTACGTATCTGTGTGTCTGTCTACGTGTCTGTCTGTGTGTCTACCTACGTGTCTGTCTGTGTGTCTGTCTACGTGTCTGTGTGTCTGTCTACGTGTCTGTGTGTCTACCTAGGTGTCTGTCTATGTGTCAGTTTGTGAGTCTGTGTCTACTTATGTGTCTGTCTGTGTATGTCTACCTTCGTGTCTGCCTGTGTGTCTGTCTATGTGTCTGTCTGTGTGTCTACCTTCGTGTCTGCCTGTGTGTCTGTCTATGTGTCTGTCTGTGTGTCTACCTTCGTGTCTGCCTGTGTGTCTGTCTGTGTGTCTACCTTCGTGTCTGCCTCTGTGTCTGTCTGCATGTCTGTCTATGTTCCTGTGTGTCTGCCTCACCATATAGATCAACTCTCGCACAGACATCACCCAGCTCATCATACCTCTC